ATTTGGTGACTGCATCTCTCCGACCACCCTCTCAAATCTTTAGCCAGCTCGGGATCGTCCTTTCTTGCGGCTTCTGGGTCATCCCCTCGTCCTTGCTCCTTATTTTTCTGCCGGAAACTGAGTGTTTCAATGGTTTTCTGACTCGAGAAGAGATATTTTGCTTTGGAGAGTGTTGCCCCCTCCTTATAGCGCCAAACTTTTTAGAGGATTTTTGGTCTTCTTGTGGGGGCAAGTCTCCTGCAAAACCGAGAAACACATGAAGTTTTGGAAAACACGATGGGGGTGTGTTTTCTGAAGGCTGTCCGACGCTCAAGTCAAAAAACAACCAAAAAACCACTAAGTGGCTAATCGAAGAGCAGAAAGAGATCGGAAAACTAAGGTGAAATCAACTCGGGCCTCTAGTGGTGATGAAATTTTTATTGTGAAAAGAGAAGAAAAGAAGAGTTTGTTGGTGGAAAAGCTCCACGGCTTAGGGACCATCATGGAGAGAAAGTGAAGAGATGGTCGGAACAGTGACCGGAAAGTATGAAGTGCTAACGTCTAAGACTCACAAGTATCTAGAGAGATATTATGAACCTTAGGATACCTAAAAAGTGTGTCCCCTCTTCCTTGTTGGAAGGGATAAAGTATTCATAGGATTTTACCTGACCCACTAAGTGGCTAGTCGGAGAGCAGAAAGATATCGGAAAACTAAGGTGGAATCAACTCATGCCTTTAGTGGTGATGGACATTTTGTTGTGAAAAGAGAAGAAAAGAAGAGTTTTTTGGTGGAAAAGCTCCATGGCTTAGGGTCTATCGTGGAAAGGAAGTGAAGAGATGGTCGGAATAGTGACCGGAAAGTATAAAGTGCTAACGTCTAAGACTCACAAGTATCTAGAGAGATATTATGAACCTTATGATAGCTAAAAAGTGTGTCCCCTCCTCCTTGTTGGACGGGATAAAGTGTTTATAGGATTTTACCTGACCCAGGCTAGTATACCAGGTCGATCCATGGATAGTGAATTGGGTGGGTCAGTCCACGACTTGACTTGACTGGGTTCGAATCTTGTGCTTGTATCACACCTCTGACGGTCTTACCAACTTTCCTTGGCATGTTTTGCCTGCTACGAGACCGCTCCTTGGCGCGTCTCTTTCGCCCTCAGTGTATGGGTTGGGTCGGCGATTCAGGTGCGGTATGACTCTTGTTGAACCTCTGATTTTCCCTCTGGTTCTTATGAAAGGTCACTATCGTCTGACACGTGTAAGAAAAATGCATTAAATGCTAATCTTGTGGGTTTGTAAGGGTATGAGTAATCAAATAAGACTAAGGCATATTCCTATTGTCGAATGGAGGAAAATTTGAATAGTATTTCTCGCTTATAGATTTACTCATACCTGGCCATGATCCCTCGATATTGGGACCGGGCTGGCGGGATTGCTTAGATAGATGACTCCTCTCTCCAGATACTTGTGCGGGCCACACTTCCTTATATCCCGACCCTTCCGGATTACCGATCTTAGGTCTAGGACATAGAGAAGGTGACCTCTCCTCCTCTTGACCACTCAGTTTCCAACCTCCTTGTCTCTGACAGTATGGCATGTACTATCAGATACAAGGAACCCGGGAACAGGTGGTATATCATGCCAGATCTCCCGAATCTGAATGGATTCGAGGTCCAATACTATATGCTTAGGTCACATTGGGCCGTAAGCCCAATACGAATCCTAATTTAGTTTTGTATCTGAAAAAAAACCATGGACGTCACATGCAAACACGTGATTCATCCATGTAGAAAGAATCAAATTTATCCCAAACATTTACTGTAAAAAAAAATTATAGTCTTCTTAGCATTACTGCAAACCACTACTATTCATATGGATTACAAAGAAGATGTTAATTGTAACAATTAACAAACTACCTTTTGCACACAAAAAAAAATAAACATACAAACTACCCAATGAAAACGGCCATTTCCGCCTACATGTTATCACAAATCAATGAACAATTTCAATTAATACATCTAAAATTACTAATGTCTAAATTCTTTTTTGTGTAACCAATTTTTATTTTTTCCATTTGTATTCACCATTTTATCATGATCGCTTTAAAATGTTATATAACGATCTTAAGAGCTAAACGTCTTTGAAGATCAAACCGATCCTAAAATCTTCAAGAAATCATATTTGTGTGTATTATGATCCACCATTTTACCAACCAAAATCATAAAATGGATATCAAATTGAAGAACAAGTCTTAAAGATTTAAAATTTTCAAAAAGTCTAGAAAAATACTTATATTTTAGTTTTTTTAAAACAATTTTTTGTACAGAGTAATTCGATAAGTCATCCGTCTAACTAGTATTTTTTTCTTAACTTCTGGATTTTTTTTGGATTTTTTGGAATTTTTTTTATTTTTTGGAATTTAATGTAAATTTATTATTAAACAATAATTTATAATGGATATTATTTATCTGTTAACTCTGGATTGTTAGATAAGTAGAATCTATATATAAATTACTAGTTAATTTGCCCATACCAAATGTAATTATATAAATAAATGATTTTAAGAACATTAAAAAAAAAGTTTTATCTCTGTTTTAAGATAAACGAATCCGAAATTTACAAATAAGCTTTTGATTTTAACAAAAGAGTTAAAAAATCTTTCTGAAGTCAAAGATAAGAAATCAAAAATTCTATTCTAGATATCATAATTAACGACATTTCATCAGACATATAGATTTCATTTATTGTTTTTCTTTTTTTCTTTTTTCTTAGATTTTTACTAAATTTTAGTTTTATAAAATTATAAAAATCAAAAACCCTATAAACATAAGAAATTGTAAACACTATAATAATTAGCGATATTTCTAGCATAAATTTTGTTTTTTTTTTGTTTTGAAACGACATTCTAAATTTTATTCCCATTTTTGTTTCTTTTAACATTTTAGTTAGCTTTTTTCTTAATTTCGGAAACATAAGAAATGATAAATTTTATAGTTTTTTGTGTTTTTCAAAAAACATTTTTGTCTAATTTTTTCTAAGTTTCGGTTGAATATAATTTTAAAAATTGTTTGATTAAGTACGAATTAAGCCCTTCAAAGCTATGTTTGGAAAGTACGGACGTCTGGAAAAATGAAGCATTTTATGTGGCAAGCTTTATCAGGATGTATTACTACTTGCCAAAACCTAACCTACAAGCATATAGAAACGGATAAGAGTTGTCCCCGCTGTGGAAATCCTGAAGAATCTATTAACCATCTTTTGTTTTTATGTCTCCCGGCTTTACAAGTCTGGGTGTTATCAGACTTTTTGTCCCTTCCGGGTCTTTTCCCGAATACATTATTTGCCAAAATATGAGCTTGCTCTTTTGGAAAACAAAAGAGTTAGGCATGACAGATCCTCAAAAGGACATTTATCATTGGATCTTGTGGTATATTTGGTAAGCGAGGAACGACAAAATCTTCAACGGGAAAGAAATTTCCCCGGTAGATACTTTGATCTACGCCAAAGTTGAAGCAGAAAGTTGGAAGATTGCAAACCAACCGAAAGAAGAAGAGGACGAAATAGACAAGGCTTCGCTCACTCCTCTTCTCTTGATTTCTCTACCTGATACCCAGAAGTTCCCGATTTGTCAGGTTGATGCATCGTGAATAGGCAACAGCCTGGTTAGTGGGTTCGGGTGGAGTCTAAAAAAGAAGAGGGGTGGTGAGACTTTTGGTCTTCAGGGCTGTCGTAGAAGCCTATCGGTCCTTCATGCCAAATTAGAGAGCTTTTTATGGGCTATGTCTTGCATGAAAGATAGACAAATCCTATCCGTACACTTTCAGACCGACTGTTCGGATTTGTTAAGCAAGTCTGAATCTCCATCAAAGTGGCTACTTTCTTATCAGAGTTGGAAGCCTTCCGCATCCTTCGAGAAAGCTTATTGGATTTCACTCTGTCCTATATCCCCAAAAGTTCAAATGTCCAAGCGGATAGTCTTGCAAAAGAAGCTCGAGCAAGAGGCAGTATTTTCTCCCAAATCATTCATACCGAGCCAGCTGAGTACTGTTCCCAGACCAATTTCTTAACGGGCCAAATGTGATGTAATAGTTGAGTTGTTGAAAAAAAAAGTACGTAATTAAGCATTTAACTATAATAATTTAGACCGGATTGTTTTAAGGTTTTTTTACACGTTATTAAATAAGAACCAATAAAAAAATGACATGTAATTAGAAAATAGGGGTAAACGGTCTTTTTGCGGCTCAAATTCATTATAGAACTGACATGTAAGCAAAAGGCGGTGAAACTCGCTGTGAGCGCGACACGTAAGCAAATAACTACATAAATAAGCATATAGAAGATTTTAATAAAAAATATATTCATTGGAGTATTTTTAGGTTCTAAAATAGTGGTTATATTAAAAATTATATCAAAATTTAGCTGATGTATTTTATGGAAATTTCTAATCACAAAATCCAAAAGGGCATTGCTTTTTGAAAGAGAATGTGTTTCGTAAATCTGAAAGCAACATTTTTGGGAGTTTAAATTTCGAATCCAATGATTCATTAATAATAAAATCACAACAAGGCAATACACATGAGTAAGTCCTGTAAAAAAAGAACAAAAAGCCTTATCTATATAAATATAAATTTATTTATATATTATTTTTTGTGCCTTTTCATGGTTTCTTTTTCGTGCCTGAAACTCTGAGAAGGTATACAGTTGTGAAAGTAAATAAGTGTGAAAGTAAATAAGTGTGAAAGTAAATAAGTGTGAAAGTAAATAAGTGTGAAAGTAAATAAGTGTGAAAGTAAATAAGTGTGAAAGTAAATAAGTGTGAAAGTGAAAAACACAATCAGAGACAAAAGCCTAAAGACTCGAGCAAACTTTTTTTTTCCTCATGATAAAACCTTTTTTATAATTTTATATTTTTCGTTTTGTTCAAATTTCAAAAACGTCTCTTTAACCCACCACTCCCTCCATTACCACCACAATTTCACGTTCTCCTATACTCTCTCTTTCTCTCTCTATCTCTCTCAAACTTTCTACTTACCTGAGGAAAAAATAAAATCTCAGGTTTTTCTTTGTGTTGTCTACGAATTCGAGCCATAAAGACCGAACCTTTTTCATCTACGTTAAGATGGGTGCTTCAGGAAAATGGGTTAAGTCAATTATTGGTCTCAAGAAGCCAGAGAAAGATGAAACTGTAAGAGCTCTTAACCCAATTTCTTCACTTTCTTCTGTTCTCTTCGTTTTATAAAGAGCTATAAGCGTGAGAGAGATTATTTGTTTTCAGGAAAAGGGTAATGGGAAGAACAAAAAATGGAAGCTATGGAGAAATTCTTCAGGGGAGTTAAGCTCGTCTTGGAAGGGTTTCAAGGGAAGACATCGGTCTGAGTCAGAAGGTTTGGTTTCTTCCAATGCTTACTCTGCAGCTGTTGCAACTGTGCTTAGAGCTCCTCCTAAAGATTTCAAAGCTGTAAGAGAAGTATGGGCTGCTATCAGAATCCAAACCGCTTTTCGAGGCTTCTTAGTGAGTATTTTTTTTTTTTTTCTTTTTAAGTTTGAATACAATTGAGAGAACAGATACAATTTGAGGGCTTTTTTCACAATCATTTTTCATTTAGCATTCAGTTTGAGGGCTTTTAGCGGTTTCTTGGTGAGTTTAAGCTACAATTGGGAATATAAAACCAATTTGAGGGCCTTTTTCACAATCAATTTTCACTTTACATTCAATTTAAAAGTAATAAGCACTCGATTTGAGGGCTTTTTCAAGGTTTCTTGGTGAGTGTAAGCGATGAGATTAATACATTTGAGAGAATGGAAAATCAATTTGAGGGCTCTAGAAAGTTATTTTGGTGAGTTTTAAGCTATGAGTTTAATACAGTTAAGAATAGAACACCGATTTTAGGGAATCACTTTGACTGAACATTTGATTAATGTTGGCATTCAATTTGAAGGCTTTTTTAGAGGGTTCCTCGGTGAGTTTGCCTATTCCTTTCATGATTTTAAGCTATGAGTTGGATATAATTGAGAGAACAAAAACCAATCTGAGGTCTCTTTCACAATCAGTTTAGACTAAGCATCGATATAATGTTACTTTTTATTTAATTTGGGGCTTTTAGATGGTTTCTTGCGGAGTTTGCATATTGGTTCATGATCTTAATTAATTGAGAGGACTTGTTTACAATCAATTTTGATTTTAACATTTTATTTAATGTTATTAGGCGAGAAGAGCATTGAGGGCGTTGAAAGGGATAGTGAGGCTACAAGCTTTAGTGAGAGGGAGGCAAGTGAGGAAACAAGCAGCTGTAACACTAAGGTGCATGCAAGCTCTGGTTCGAGTGCAGGCTCGTGTTAGAGCTCGCCGTGTGAGGATGACTGTTGAAGGACAAGCTGTGCAAAAGCTTTTAGATGAACACAGAAGCAAATCTGATCTCTTGAAAGAAGTCGAGGTTATTGTCTTTCAGCTTTCTTTGTTGTTGTGCGCATTGGTTTGATTCCGATCAACATGTTAATTAGTTGTTTGATATACTTTCAGGAAGGTTGGTGTGATAGGAAAGGTACGGTGGATGATATTAAGACAAAGCTGCAACAGAGACAAGAAGGTGCTTTCAAGAGGGAACGTGCACTGGCTTATGCTCTAGCTCAAAAGGTAATTGTGCACACACTCTTGTCATTTTAAGATCTTGTTTTAAGCTCATTTCTAAATCCAAATTCCGGTTTTTCTGCAGCAATGGAGGTCAATTCCTAGCTCAAATCTCAAGACAAACAATTCAATCTCATATCTCAAAAGCCAAGAGTTTGATAAGAATAGTTGGGGATGGAGTTGGTTGGAGCGTTGGATGGCTGCTCGGCCATGGGAGACTAGACTTATGGACACTGCAGATGCTACCACGCCTCCTCCTCCGAAGCATTTGAAATCACCCGAAACCGTGGATGTTGTTAAAGTCAGAAGAAACTATGTGACAACTCGGGTTTCCGCAAAGCCTCCTCCTCATATGTTATCTTCAAGTCCTGGATATGAATTTAATGAGAGCCCTGGTTCATCATCTATCTGCACTTCAACCACACCGGCTTCTGGAACCACTGGCCTTGTTTCAGACAATTCTAGCAGTCAAGCAAACAAGAACAAGCCAAGTTACATGAGCATGACTGAATCAACAAAGGCTAAGCGAAGAACTAACCGTGTTCTCAGACAGTCCATGGATGAGTTTCAGTTTATGAAGAACTCTGGATTGTTTACCGGGGACTTGAAGAGCAGTCCTGGCTCGGATCCTTCCTACGTTACTTTCTCCAAACCACTCGGTGTTCCAACTAGATTCGAGAAACAGAGAGGGTAAAGTGACCTTGTGAGATTCATGTCAATTGCCTGAGGAAAGTTTCAACAGCTTGTTGTTGTCTTTGTGTTGTGAGATATCTATGTATGTTAATTTCTTCTTTTTTCCTCTGAAACTACATTGGAGTTTTTGATTACCATGAACTTAGATATAAAAATTGCAGTTTTCGATTTTATTTCGTCTTGAAACTTTCAGTTTATCTAATCAGCTGTTGTCAAGAATCAGAATCTTTTGATGGCTCTGAGCTTAACACCATTCTTGAAGCTTAGAATCACACCATAATCAAGCTCAAGTGGTCTCTCCATTTCTGAGGAATGTCTGAAAATGTAATTACGGTAGAGATGCAGCAAGGTGAGTTTGATCTCCTGCAGAGCAAATCTTTGTCCAACACAAGCTCGTGGACCAATGCCAAACGGAATGAAAGCATATGGATGTCTAAGTTTCTCCTCTTCTCCGTTCGGATCAAACCTTTCCGGCATAAACTTCTCTGGCTCTGGGAAGTTTTTGGGGTCCTTTGCTAGAACCCCTAGAGCCAACCAAACCCATGTCCCCTAAACAACAACAAGGTAAGTAACAGAGAACAAGTCGTTCTTAAAATGAAATATTAAGGATTTGAATGGTAGCAGGCTAGCAGCGGATGGAACGCAAGCCATTGAGTTGATGAATTTACCTTGGGGAGTAAGTAACCTCCGATTTCCACTTCTTTTGCAGTTTCCCTTGCAACCAAAGGAGAAACCATGTAGAACCTCATAGCCTCTTTGATAACCTACAGAGAAAGAAGAACAAAAACATCCATTAAAGATTGTAGTGCTCTCATATAAAATGAACTTCTCGGTTTTGTTTGGTAGAAAAAAAAAGCACCTGATCGAGGTATGGAAACTTGTATTGTAAGTCGTGGGAAGTCGGGATCAGATCACGGCCTCCAAACCCGTCAATCTCTATAAGCAGACGTTTCTCAACTTCGAGATGACCAGAGACTAAGTAGAGAACAGAGGATAATGTGAAAGCAGTGGTTGTAGAGCCAGCAAGAAGATGCTCATAAGTCACAGCACTTATATAATCGGGCGTAAAAATGCTCTTGGCAAACGTATCAGACTCTCTAGCTTTCAAAATCAATGACAAGAAGTCTTTTGAATCTGTCTCTGTATCCTTGGCTCGCTTTGACACGATCTCATTGAGTTGTCCACTCAATCTTCTGTTAGTCTTCTCAACTCTCCAGTCCATTGTTCCTGGTATTCTCTTCAGAACCTGCCTGAATGGCTCTTGAAGAATCGGAATCAGTAAGCCTAAGATGATGGAGAGTGAGCCAGATAAATCCATCTTGAGCTGTGTCGTGGAGTAGACATGCTGGTTTATGAAATCAGTCACCTCTACATTGTTATCCATTGAATCTTTGATTTGTTTTTTACCCGAGAGGCCGAAATCGACTCCAAAAGCAGCTTGTCCGATGATATCTGTGGTTAGCATGAGGAAGAGATTGGAGATAACAACATCTCGCGGCTCGGAATCAAAATTATGAGTAGCTAAAGTGATGAAATTGTGCATTGTTGGTATAAGACTTGACAAATGTGAAGGCTGGTAGAGAGATAAGATGGTGTTTCTCATCTTAGACCATCTCTTGTCCCTATTAATGATCCATGAATCATTAATGGTCATAGAAAGGTTGAAGAAGAAAGATATGTTTAAACTATAGTAGTGCCGATCCAATGAAAATGGTAGTCCGAATCAAGAAGCATATACCTGGTGAAGAAAAGTCCTTTCTGGTGAAGAGGAGAGGCAGAGATTGGAGAAGGAATGCTTCTATTAGGAATATCTTTGAATTTCTTTATCCCAACTTCTCTGCAAAGCTCTGCTTCTGCAACTATTATCAGTGGTTGCCTCCCCATCTGAAACCTGTTTTTCTTTTTGTTAATTTAAATTGATATTCAATTGGTCTTTTAAGATTTTCTTTTTTTTTGGTTAACATAATAACTAGTGTTCATCTTTCTTTTTCTTTCCACTCTTGTTGTGGTTATCAAAGCAGCCAATAACAACAATTAAGAGATACGGACATATAAACTAAACTGATTAACCAACATGTTTGAACTAAAATCAAACAGAAAATATGTTTATAATCTTTTAATTTTGTTATTTTGAAACTGAATATTCGAACCGGACGAATAAGCCTAAATTCATTCAAACTATATATGTTTAATTATATAAGTCTTAACATTAATTGAATAAGTAGTTATAGATTAAAACTGTTTAAATCTATTATATAATGGAGAGTTTTCTCTTCATCTAGGGTCTCCACGTCAGATAGAAAAAAATTAATGACTCAATTAATTTACACACTTTAAGTAGAATTAATTTTATTTAAAAATAAAAGAAAAACACAAATATAAAAATTAATGACTTAATTAATTTACATATTTTTTATAATCATGAATGTTATCAAGAAGAAGAAGAAGAGGATTAAAATCTGAAAAAAAAAAATAAGAAAAAATAGTTAAAGAAACGATGATGATGAAAAAATGAAAATAAAAAATGATGAAAAAGAATAAAAAAATAAGAAAAATAAAAGAATATAAAAAAAAACATATAGATGAAGACGAAATAGAAGAAGAAGAATATATACACGAAATAAAATCAGAAAAGAAGATAAAAAAAAATAAGAAATAGAAGTTCAAGAAAATGGAAAGATAAAAAAGAAAAATAAGAAAAGGAAGAAGAACACAAAGCTGATGTAGAAATTTTAGAAAATACAAGAACACAAATGTTGAAGATGATAGAGAAGACGGAAAACGAAAATAACAAACTATGACAATATGAAGATAGTGAAAGAGTCTAATAAAATTAAGAAATATAAGAAGAAAAATATAATGAATTAGTTGTTTAAAAAATAAAATTCCGCGCAACGCGCGAATTATAAATCTAGTTATTTAAAATCAAACTGAATCTGAACCGAAAGGCAAATCAAACAAACAAAATATACGTCAAACTTAACAAAACCAAATTATAATAACATTAATTTGGCTTACATTTTCATAAAAACCGATAAACCCAAAAAAACACTAAATTCTAATTTGGATTGTCCACCCAAAACAACTATCAAGAAAGGGAAGGACCTGAAGATAGGGCCATAGTGCTTAGCAAGAACGGAGAAAACGTCAAGGCCGTACTTAGCCATCAAGGGCAAGTGGCCAACAAGAGGCATAGCGGTTGGACCGGGGACCTTGCGTACGGACCAAGAGGGTCGGTACAAGTAGACTATAATTACAACCGCTGCAAAAGTCAAGGATGCAACAAGAGCTTTGTGTTGTACCAAGAACAGATCAAGAACTTCCCACCATAGATTTTGCGTCTTCATCTCTCTAACCTCTAAAGGCTCTCTATGTTGTTTTATTAATTTTTAATGTGTGTAGGTTTTGGTTGGTGCGGTTCATTAATTTATAGGTATATAGTATTTGATGTGCTTTTGAAAAGTGGGTTCTACACTCTTTCCACTATTTCACCATTAGAATAATGTGAGACTATTTTGCAAGAGGACAAAATGCGTTGAAATTATTTGTCAAATACTGATCTCTACTACTAAGTTATTGTAACGCAAGGACTTCATATTGAATTTTAAGTTTTTCTTGTCAACACTGAATTATTATATTTAATTTACATTCCGAAACACTAAATAATTCAATCTAGTATACACACAAAATATAACTTTACAATAAAAAATAAGGGTATCATTTTCGTCCTTCATTCTATAACACAACTTTTAATCAATGGTAGTGAAGTGCGGAATCTAGCCGAATGTTATTGTTTTATAACTAAATAAAATTACGACTCAAATATGTTTCGATATATTAAAAATAAAAATAGTCGACAGTCGAATTCCATTCAAAATAGTGAATCAAAATTCAAATGGATGTAAACAATTTGAATGTTAAAAAACTGATAAATAAATAATATAAAACAGCATGTTTTAAAAATCGGGTATTTTTGACCATCTCCACTCATCGTTGCACTGCAAGTGCTTGTAGATGTCAAAGGGGGTTTACCGTCAATTATAGTTTTTGGTTTCCTTTTTTCTCCACTATTTGTTTCCTCCATCTTTCTTTTTTGGGTCACTCCTTTTTTTTAGTTGAACAAATTATTGATGATTTTTTGTTAGTATTTTAATCGGGAAAGAAATGGCTATGTTTGGAGGAAATGGATCAGTTTGGACTTGAGAATTTTAACCATTAACAAGAAATTAAATCATCACATGGCCATCGTTTGTTTTAGAGTTTTGTTCTTTTCCCACCTCGATATAGGATCAATATATTCAATTTATATTTAGAGTTAATAATTTTTGTTGGTTTTTAGACTAACTAATTAATAGTCAAGATTTTGTTCTTTCATGAATTTCGTTTGTATCGAAATCTTTCTTATTATTGTTAGAGTTAGGATTAAGATGAGCTCTAGGATCATATATTGGAACATACTTGAACCGATGCTATTGATAACGCATTGCAAAATTGTTTTCATGAGGTTTATTTTGACTTTCGTTCGTTTCATGTTAACAACAATCAACCCCGATACTTTTTAATTTTTTTTTTTTTCATTCGCCACCGACCTAAAACAACGATAAGATTTTGTTCGATATGCAGTAGCTAATTCAACCAGAGGTTTTGTTGACAAAAATTGCCTACAGATTTTGGAGATTAAAGTTTTTTTTTTTTTTCATCAGCCCCTAGATACCTATCACAATTTAGTAATCCACTACTGTATTATGGTATCAGAACCTCAACTCGTGTTATGATTGAATGAATGATTGTTTATGAATGATTGTTGTGAATGTTCTAGAAAACGTTCCCTTCATCATGTCTATTTCAAATCCAAATCCTCCAACCATCGATTCTCCGTTTGCAATTTCCACTTTACCAAAATCAAAAAGCCGTTCTTCCTCATCTAGTATCAATTCTCTCTACGAAATAGAATACGTCCCTGGAGATCAGCTACCCGAAACCACACTCCCTCTTGTTAATCCATATGAATACTTTGCCAAAAAGCCTAGTGCTTTCTCGGTTAAATGTGTTCGAGAACTCATCAAGCCATCCTCCAATCGAAAAGTCATGGAATATGTCCAGTCCAGCAAATTCTCATCCTGTCAAGTCCCAGCAACCGAAGAAGAACAATTCATCTCGCTCAACATACCGGAGAACCTTCCTAGGTTATGGCAACAACAAGGGTATACTCACCTCCACTTTGGTGTAGTCCGGATCGGTTTGACCCTGCATGCTCGAAAAGGTCTACCTGTTGTAGCAAGAATCGCCTTGGTCGATTCAAGACTGAAATCCTACCAACAAGCTTGCATCGAAACAGTCTAAACAACATTAAACGCCGGAACAGTATTCGTGACACTGTTTCCAAACTTTAATGTCTCGCTACAAGATCCAAATCTTCTGAAGACACTTAAGGTCCAACTTCAGCTCACCGGAGCTCCTATGCAAGAGAAAAGTGTCGTGGCGACCCTTCATCATCAGATAGTCTATCGAATCCAAGATCATGCCTTAGATCTTGTACTACCCTCTTCTGATGAAGCACTTTACCTAGAAGTCACTTCAGCATCTCAAGCACCAAACTCCATCCAGATCCCTCGTCAAATATCTCGCGAAGAGTTGCTCCGCCGGCTACCAGAATCATGGATCACCAGCTACGAGAAGCTGCACCAAGCGGTTCAAACACCGATTCAATCCTCCGAAGTTAGCTTTCATTCACGAAATGATGGGACAACCGAAATCAAGTTCGAGAAACCAAGATCATCTTCATTCCGCAAACAACTGTTCACTCAATTTGCTATCCAAATTGACGAACGCGAATTCTATAGTCCAGCAAAAGAACAAAATCCTAAACCAATCTCTTTTGGACAAAACGGATCGGTACTATATCCTTTCAAAGATGAAGATGGACATCAATATTTCGATATCTGTTCCTGCTCAGCATGTGAAGAAGCCATGTACGAATCTGATGACGAGATTCGCACAAGGAGAAGAAAGAAAAAAGATCCACTCTACAAAAGATATCTAGAAGGAGATCCCACCGTCGGTCCTCTCGGTGAAGGTAACGGGCGATACGACTTTATAGTCCAATATTCGGAAAAGAAAGATGAAAATCAAATCATGATGATCAACACCGAAGACTTCCCTCCTTCAAGCGACTTTACCAAGGACAACATCGCACATAGCCCGAAGATACTCACTCGAGCAATCAACTCTTCTGGACCAGATCAACTAAGCCAAGGAGAAAAGGTCCTCAACTGGCAAACTGAGAATGCCATCGCTCAAAATCAACTCCTCAAAACAATAAATTACAAGGTTGATCAGCTAACGGAAAATTACATCAAAAGGCAAACTAGCCTTCAGAGCTCAATAACAGAGATCCATGGCCGGCTTAACAATCTTCATCAAGAAATGATGGCTATGGCACAAAACATGATGGTCAATACAGCACAATTCCGTCATAAAGAAGCAGAGACAGCCAGTCTCAAAGCCCAGCTAAAAGATCTTCAAAGAAGCCTCGAGAGTATGATTTACAATCAGAATCCTGCGAGTTCTTATCCTTTTGGTGGAATGCCTACGTACCAAGGCACCTACTCCCCAGGATTTCTCTCCGGCTATACGAATCAAAGGCCAAGAACACCGGCCCCCGGATTCCTATCATCTGACGAAGCATTTACGTCAAGGTATGGCATGTCCTCAGCTAGCAAGCCAAAGACGTCAAAATCAAAACCAAGAAGACAGAAGGATTCCGAGTTTATGGTCAATCCTACCAAACGACCAACGCTTACTTCTTCGTCAAGCCATGAATCAGTAGAAGATTCAAAAGGAAAAGGAAAAGAAATTGGTATAATTGAATTCTCTATGGCTAGTCTGTTGGATACTATTGGACAGATTCTACTGCTCAAACAGCCACGGAGATGCCGCATACACAGCCTTCTCAAATTGCAACTCCAATTGCAAATATCGGTCATTATTCAGAGACTAATGCTAACAGTTCCGAATCAACTTCGGATGAAGAATCTCTCCCAAACCAATTTGCCATAGGCGACGAAAGAGGCGAAACATCAAATCCAAAACGAGAACCTGATATACATGAAATCTATTCAAGCGATGAAGATATGGAGTACAGGCCTCCCAGGCAGCAAGAAATACCAACAAAACCATTTGCCTCTAAAGTCATGGTCTTCACGTTTGATGACATTCCTTTCGAAAAATGGAATGATCGTCTCGATGAATTTCATGCATGGATGAATTCTGAAGCAATCACGTCTCCCTTAGAGCTTGTGATTCAGCAGTTTACGGCCCGACTATCTGGAGCACTCAAAGAATGGTGGAATTCACTTGGTGAATACAGACAGCAGCAAGTCTATCAAACGACAATACCGCTACTTCTCGGAGAAATTCATAGGGAATTTATCGGTACACCCACACATTTGAAAGAACAGCTTCAAGAAGAGTTCTTTACTGCGAAATGCTGCTCATTGAAGAAAAGAGACCTAGCTAAGGATTTTGAGCAACAGACGTGACGTTATTACGCTCTTAATGGTCTCAACAATCCAAGCCTTAAGCAAGTGCATCTCTCTTCGATTGATGACTACCTCAGTCAACAAACGAAGCTATACATCAGAGATCAGGGCCAGACAGTGGAAGATATTTCCATTGGCCAAATACAGCAATATGTCTTCCGAACACTGGACAAACTCTGCAAGCAAAAGGAGTTTTGGATGGAATTCATGGATAAATCAAAGCAACTATCCAGGATCTGTGCAAGACCAGACCTATCCATCAAATGTTCAAAATCCAAGAAGACATGTTCGTGTGATGATCGTAGCAAATCACGAAGATTCAGAAAAACGTCTCACAAGCGTTTCAACAAATTCAGACGCAAGCGATTTTTCAGAAAGAAACGAAGCTTCAAGAAAACAACAAAGTGTTTCCTATGTCGCAAAGAAGGCCACTTTGCAAAAAACTGCCCAAACAAGTCAAAGAAAAGGAAGCAGTACTTAATCAGCTCAATCTCAAAGATCGCACCAGACCTAGATTTCGACAATCACGATCTGGAATCAGACCTAGACCTATGATAGTGATGAACAAGATGCGATATGTGGATACTCGGATTATGACTACTCATCCGACTCCTCCTCAGAAGAAGAAGAAGTCAATAACGACTGCTGTTTCAAAATCACTCGTATGCCGCAAAAAGAAGAAATTCAAACACCACATCTGCCAGTTACGATCTTTGATCCATCACAAAAGGAGAAGCCAGTTCATGCAATTGCGTTCATCGACACAGGAGCATATACGACGATAATGAACCCTAAAATTCTCCTGACTTCTATGTGGCT